TATATTTAATTAACCAATATTGGTATTTTAATTTATTTTATTAAAAATTAGATTTTTTTTTAAATTTTTTGATGTATTTCAAAATTATTACTTGTAGTGAATTATTTAAATTAAATTCAAATTTATTGAATATTTAATTTAATAACCTTAAAATTATAAAAAAATTATAGCTTAATCTTTTATGATTTTTTTTTCGGGTATTTAATTAATTAATAGTTATTCTGAATTATTTAAATAGAAATTTAATTAATATAAAAACTTAAAATTTTAAATAAAAATCTTATTAATTTGTTTCTAGTAATTAATTAATAAGTAGGTCCACTTGATTTTTAAATAATTTAATTGTCAAAAAATTTCAAGTCAGAAAATTATGGATTTTTTTACTAGTGCTTAATTAGATAATAATTATATTGAATTAAATAAATTAACTTTTAATTAATTAGTATTTTTATTAAAAAAAAATGCTATAAATATTTATATTTTAAAAGTATTTTATTAATTATGAATTATATTGAATGACGATAGCGATAACTGAGTGGTTAGCATTGAATACTGCCATTCGAAATATCAGGGTTCGAGCCCTGATCCGACCTACAACCACATTTTTAGAAAATTAATTTAAATAAAAAATTAAAATTTCTAATCAATTCATTCATTCATTTAAAATTTGAAACTACAAATTGAATTTTAAAATTTGTTAGCAATATTTTAATAGATTTTTTCTTAATAAATTTAAAATTATTCTTCATATTTTCTTTTTATACAATTTTTTTTTTGATAACTTTGTAGCCAAATATTTTTGTAACAAAAATTAATTACAACCCTAGTAATACGAAATGCTTATGTGCTCGCATACATGCAAAGAAATATCAGAAACTAAACTCACGTTTGGTCAGTTTCTTTGGTCAGTTAGTCTGTGTGAGTATGAGTGGAATTTTAAAATGGGAAAGTTTCTCATATACATCACAAAATAAAAACTCATTTAAACTGAGTGAGATTTTAGATCACACATACATTCATACATTTAATTTTATTTTCATGCAATTTTGGTTTTTTTCCTGTTTGTTTTTTGTTTAAGGGATGCCTGCTGCCTTAAGGCATTCGCCGGTTTCATATGCGAATTTTGTTATAAGTGAAATGCGTATTTATTATGTTTTTTTTTTTATGGAGAGCAAGTGAAATGCTAATGTATATATTTGTACAGGAAAATTCGTTGCGAAATCGATTTTATTTTCGGGAAAGTGTAAACATTGCATGTGTGTTTTTGAATTTGAATTTTGATTTAGTTATTTGTAGTGGAGAAAAAATGGAATTTTTTTAATAAAGTAAAAAGTTCGTTATGAAAAAATGGATTTTAAAATAATAAACAAGTTTTTTTATTTAAATAAATTGTGCATTATATTTTAATTTAATATTTAAATTTTTTTAAAGGACTTCAGTAGGTGACACTAAAACGATGTATTTTGAAAAATCTTGTACTTCCAACTATTAAAAAATATTGTGTAACAAAAAAAAAAAAATTACTTTGTAACAAATGTTTTTAATCACAGTTTTTTCCCTTTTATTTTTATATGTAAATGGATATCTAACATATAATAAATTATAATTTTTTATTTAATATTTTATTTTTAAATTTTTATTTTTGGTAACGTATTACAAGGGTCAGAGATAAAAAGCTTGATAATTAAAATTTTATAATATGGGTTATATTGAAGAGAGCTTTAAAGACTTATGGAGAAATTTTTTTCAAACAACGGTTGCCACCTTTTTCTCTTTATTAATTAAAAAGAAATTGATACACATATATGCATTTAGTTTGTGCTTTATAACCGCTTTTTTACTTACATATGGAGGGACTTGCAGTATTTTTCTGAGCCGTCTATCAAAAACTGATTGAGTTTTATGGGAAATTTTTTATTTTACCTTACAAATATACACAGAGGGATTAGCAATCTATAGTTTTTTATATTGGCCTGATCTGGTATTCGAAACAAATACCACGTCCACCTGGGTACACAAACTATTCTGCAGAAGTCATTTGATGGATGGCGTGTCTACCTAAGAGAAGACGTCTCATAAGACGATCCATGATTGTGGATACTTTGTATCTTTTTATGGAGATAAGCACTTTTGAACTCTCTTTATTCCATGCCGTTCACATTGCCCTAACCAAAGGTCAGGAGTTGAGACTAATATTAGAATCTGCTTTGAAAAATCCTCTTACAAGTAGAGAGCGGCATGCCTAGACACTTGGAAAGGAAATGCCCTGCCATGGGAACTCGACCACCATCACGCTACCCGGTATGTCAGTGTGTGCTCGCACTCCTACTAGGTTCAGAAAGAACTACTCTAGCGTTGGTGCTGTGTAAACGGTGAGGCGATTTTCGGTTGAGCTCCTCCTTCAATTTGTGGTGTGCGTCTTAATGTTCTTCTAACAAATGGTGGGACTTAGAGTTTATACCACGCTTTTTTATGGAAAATACTCTAGGAGGGGTTGAGCTTCCCTATCGAGCTGCGACCGCAATTAAGAACGAGGACTAGAACCTTGGCCTTCCGAGTGACTGTACGCAATGTTAACCACACTGCTATCACGTTTTCCATTAGACCTCGACTATTTACAACCGCATGTATGGCCATCAGTTCAGCCCGAAGAACTACGCAGTGATCTGGTAGCCGAAAGAACTTTCTAATCCCAAGTTCCTTTGAGTACATTCCATTACCAAGCCTGATATCTAGTTCCAAATCATGTGTATAAAAGTGGATCAAATCTGCATCTGCTGGAATAATTCTATTTCATTGTTTCCTACCACTTTAAAGTCTATTCGTGAAGTCAGTGAATGTTATGCAGTAGTCCGTCCTTTCCGGTATAAGCGAACCCTCATTGTTTTTTGGTATGGTTGTGGTTTGTCACCTTCCATTAAGACATCTTCTGAAGTACTTCGGCAGCAAAAACTACACAATGCATTCCCATAATAGCCCTGAGGAGCGGTTTTAAGAGAGCATTCATAGCGCCAGTAGGCAAAGCTAACCTCTCCGCTATTACCTTGCTATTATATATTAGTCTCACCAGGGCTTGAACCCACAACTATACACATAGTGGCACGCAAGGGTTACTGCACTTGCCCATATGATCAAAAACCAAAAAAATCTAAGCTCTAGCAACATTTTTAGCCTGTGGTGAGTTATCATGGATTTGATTCGAAGGTCTACCACGTCAAACTATAGAAGCTGAACGCTGACGCTGAAGAAAAAATGTTTTCAACAGATCCTGCATATCTTTGATACAACAACAACAAATGGTAACAAATCTCATATCGATATCGAGGCGCGACAGCCACCTTATAGTCCTGGCTTGGCACCTAAGAGATTGCAATTCATTTTGTGTCCTTCAAATTCACTTATATGTTTCGTTTCGTCCCGATACTTTGCATTTATATATATATATATATATAATAAAATACAATACCATCATACTAAAGATTTAGAATAAATGTTTAGGATTAATTGAGGTCATGCAACTTTTTCCAATTATTAATTAATTTAGATTTTTTACGTATAGAATTTTGCACGAGTAGATAAGATTATTGAATGCATTTTTGAAATTAGATTTTAAAATATATGCAGACATACATATTTACATACATACTTTCATTTGTATATATGTACGAGGTGTGACAGTAAAGTGATGAGACTGATTATAATGCCGCGATTGTGGTAACCCTGCGATCTTGAAATTCCTTTTCCCATCTCCCGGCATCCTTCTCCTCTCCGTTGATATCTTTGCCATCGCTCTAGCTTCTTTAGTTCGCCTGCTTTGTCGTGTTGAGTAAACGTGTGTTCGTGGTGCTCGTCACGAGAATGGAAAAACGAAATGAAGAGCAACGCGTCGCGACATAATTTTGCGCCAAATTGAGCGATCGAGGGAATCGAGCTTCGGAAACGTACGCTAAAATTGTAAAAGTGCACGCCTCTACCGCACGAAAAAAGCTCGTGTGAGCAAGTCGAAGGAGAAAACGATGATTATTGCTTTTTTTGATAGCCGTGGAATCGTCCACAAAGAATTTCTTCCACTAGGACAAACCGTAAATCAAGTCTACTATCGCGAAGCACTCAAAAGATTGCGAAAACGAGTCAAGAGGGTGCGCTCAGATATCGCTCGTAACTCGATCCTTCATCACGACAACGCGCCGTGCCACACCGGCCCCAGCGTGTCCCAGTATTTGGTCTCTAAAGGGATCGCCGTGTTGTAACATCCGCCTTATTCGCCCGATATGTCAAACTGTGACTTTTTTTTGTTCTCTAACACAAAATTGGTGCTCAAAGGAACCCATTTTGAGTCGATTGGGGACATTCAAGCGGCCGTGACGAGGTTACTCGCGGACATTCCAGTCGAAGCGACCGGAAATGTTACGAAGCATGGAAAACGAACTGGAATCGTTGGTTAGCTGCCCAAGTGGACTACTTAGAACGGGATGGCAGAGTTGTAGAATAATTTTGAAATATCCGGTTTTTATGGGGTCAGTCTCATTTCTTAATTGTCACACTTCGTATGTACGTTGATATTTATGTATATGTATGTAAAAATGACGCTTGCATTTAGCAACAATCATTGATGGACGGAGCTTATCACTCAAATCAATAGTTGCTTGTGTCGCAACTAAATTCAGCCATTCATTCTTGGCAACAAAGTTTAGCTAGCGCCAGCACAAACGCAGCGCAGACAGACAATTTCAGCGAGATTGCAATTCAGCAAAAGTGAGCGGTCAATGAACCGTAAACGGTAAAGTAAACATTTTTTTTAAATAAAAAATCATATTTTCTTTTCATAAACAAATTAAAATCAATTAAGTTTGTAATATTTTTTTATTATTATTTCGTAAAAATAATTCAATTAATTTCAAAAGCAATTTTTTTTTTGAAAATTTGCCGAGCTACCGAAGCGTTGTGCTGAGACTGACACTGCGCGACTTTCATATAAAAAGCGCCCATAATTCAAATCAAAGCACAGTTCGCATTGAGTTGCAAAAGTGTATCCAATATGAATCTACTCAAGACAATCGGTTTAGTGGCATTACTAATAGCCGCCGCCACGGCCAAGCCAAAGAGCAAAAATATTGCTGCGTCTACGGCGAGTCTGAAGCCAACTGATTGGTTGTCCGCCGCCGAGTTGCGCGCGCTGCCCGCTGGAGAGGATATCACTTTACAACAATTGGAGAATATGTCCGTGGAGGAAGGCGAACGATTGATTCAGAAAATTTGTAAGTAACTGACGGATGTCCTAAGAAACTAAGAACAAACATAGAATCAAAAAAAAAAAAAAAAAAATATTAAAAAGAAACTAAAGAATAAATAATCTCCCATCCTGCCAGATCACCTCTCGAAAATCGATCACACACTCCGCCCAACGTACGTGCCCAGCGCCGGTAATGTGCCCGTGATCCTAGTCAAGCCCAACAGCAAGAGCGTAGAAACAAATCTCAACGAGATGGTGCACCAAGCTAAGCAACAGCCCAACTTTGGTAGTCAGGAGGTCACCATTATCATAACTGGTTTGCCTCAAACGAGCCCCGCTGTGGCAAAGGCCAATAAGAAGTTGGTACAAGCCTACATTCAACGTTACCATGGACAACAACAACCCGTGCGTGGCAGCAATATGGACTATGCATCTGGCGAGCAGCAACAGGCTGCTACATCAAGCGAGGAGGACTACAGTGAATCGTGGAAGGAGCAAAAACAGAACCGTGGCGATCTTGTGGTACGTAACGGTGAAGCAAAAGAGTTTTAGCAGCACACATTTTCACTAATTAACACTATTTTTCCTTCTCTCTCTTTCTCACCTTCTTTATCTTTCTGTCTGCAGATCATCAATTTGGGCGCCACCTTGACGAACATGAGACGCTACGCTCTCTTGGACGTTGAACAAACCGGTGAGTTGATCGGCAAAGCACTCGTCCAGCTGACCAATGAAGTTGATGTGCCACAAGAGATTATCCATATTGTTGGTCAGGGTATTGGCGCACAGGTTGCTGGCGCTGCTGCCCGTCAATACAAGCGTTTGACTGGTCATAAAATCCGTCGCATCACCGCTTTGGACCCTGCCAAGTTGTATGCCACCGATAAGAAGGTGTTGACCGGTTTGGCTCGTGGTGATGCTGATTTCGTTGATGCCATACACACCAGCACCGGTGGTATGGGCACACGGGAACGTGTCGGTGATGTTGATTTCTATGTAAATGGTCCAGCCGCTATAGTGCCTGGTGCTGATAATGTCGTTGAGGCCTCCATGCGTGCCACTCGCTACTTTGCCGAATCGGTGCGTCCAGGAAATGAGCGTAACTTTGCTGCTGTGCCCGCTAACTCGAAACGTCAGTATGACAACAATGAGGGTAATGGCCGTCGCGCTTACATGGGCATTGCTACTGAATATGATTTGAAGGGTGACTATGTGCTCAATGTGAATGCCCAGAGTCCATTCGGTAAGAGCGCTCCAGCTCAGAAGCAGACTCCTTATCATAGCTTGCATCAAGCTTGGAGAAGCGACAAGTTGAGCAACAGCCGTTATGAATAAGTTAACTGCACACTATATGCTTGAGAATGATCTGTGACTCGCTTTTTTTGCAATTTTTTTAAATTTTCACGAAAAAAAAAATAAAAAATTAAAATCGAAATGAAGATTAATTTTTCGAAACTTTTTATTTCAATTTGTTATTGAAATACTTTCAGGTAACCTTCCCCTTTCATTTACGTCTTTGGCGCCGGCTGCTTAGATCAGTTTAAATAACCAGCGAGACCCTGACCACAGCTCAACTTACCATAGCTCCTACATCCTCATTCATTTTAGGACCAGTTGTATGGACTTGTACAAGCGGATTAAGGTCGCTGAATGAGTAACAGCGCGTGGCTCGAACAACTCCGGCGCGTAAGCCGGCCATCTTGGGAGCCGCTGCACATATCTGCATGGCGAGAAGTAGTGAGATGTAAATGAAGAAGTTACAGACCCTTGAAGAAATTAACGGAAAAACTCCTTACTTCGTCTACGCCCCACCTTTATTGCCAGGCATCCCAGTTTTCAGTTAAAATGTATTTTATTGCCCGCTAAGCCTCCCAGAATGGTCTTACTTTACTACTCATGGACTCAATACATCAATATTTAAGAGAAACGCGTAGCTGACAAGCCTAATAGTATCACACATAGAGAGTCAATACATACTTTTCGCAACTCTTCCCAGGTAGACGGTGATCTCAAGCTGCCTTAGGAGATCCAAGTAACCCTATTTCATCTAAGTCATGGAAGTTGTAGCAGACTAAAATTTACATATCCCCGAAACCAGCTTTTCTAAGATGCCTTCCTCATTGGTTCGGGCCCGCGGAACAGCTGAGCTGAGCTTCTTGTCGATTAGGTTTGCTGTCTCCTAAACGGCTTAACCAGCTTGTTGCCCTTCTGCCCTTATGTAATTAATAATTAGCTTTGATTTATTCCAAAAGGACACCTGCAGGGACTTTATTATCACTATTGACACTAAGTTTAGCCTTGGTTATCGAGTCGCTGCCTGTTTTAGGCGTTTGGGGAACTTCAAACATTTGGCTGATCCTCCCATCAGCAGCTTGTTGCCCCCGACGATTCGCTGATTAAGTGAAAGTACTATTCCTATTCGTGTACAACTCTACATCTCCTTCAGGAATCGATGTAGTGAAACCATCCTTCAAATCAATGAAATACTTACCCAGTTCCTAAGGGCTGAGTGGGTTTCTAATGACGAAGCTACATCTGTTAACGCTTTCTGAGGCACGTGTTTAATGATTTCGTGTTGGTTGACAAATACTCCCAGAGCATGGCTCTCTATTTTTTCGCTGTGGCAATCAATGGTAGCAGACCGCAGTAGTCGAGTAGTTAGCAGTGTGTTCCACGGTGGGGAAGAATCCTGGCCCAATTAAGATCTAAAGTCTTAGCATAAGTATCTCACTCTTATCAGTTGCTTTACTATGTAGACTTTGGCTAGTGGTTTTTCTTAGTTTTGCCTCCTCCGAAGCAGTTACCAAACTGCCACAGAACCCATTCCGCGAGCTTCTTTTAGCTTTGTTTATGGCTTTCTTTATATAGTTATTAAGAGTGGGTTCTTCTTCTCTTCCCCGGGATCTGGAATTCACCAATTTGATGCATTCACTGCGCCTTATAGCATATCCGACAGTCATCTCCTTTCTCCGTCGAATTCTCAAAATAGAAATTAAATGTTTACGGGGTCATTCGGATTAGCTATAAATAACGTGAGCCTCCCACTACGTTCCTGACACGCTTGAAGGTATTAGTCCATTAAAATGCAGTTTGCATGCGATAGGTCGGCTCTGGACCAGCTCGGGGTGCACTTGGGTGGCACTTTTACACCGCAATTGCTTGCGAGACCTTTCTGGCTCAAGTTGACGCATTAAAAGTTAGTTACACTGCATTCAACTTCAAGACCTAAGCCCTCACACATGGTGGGTATTCTGATTGAGTATTACTTAATTGGCATTCACGAAGTGGTACTGAGATGCGGACTACCACCATCTGGAAGAAGAGATATAACCATTTATGCCCTTTTATCTGTAATGCTTTGCGAGGCTGAGTCTTAAAATTCTTCGACCATTTCCGAGTCTTAGAATCTCGTTATCAGCCACCTCAATCTGATCTAACCTACACAATCCCGCACCGAAACTTCGAAATAAGTGATAGTGCAGATGTGACATGAGCTCGAGCCAAAAAGTCGATGTAATTTTTTCCATTGTACTTGGGGCGCACAAAAAACTCGTATCTCGCGCCACCCAGCGGATTATACATAGGTAAAGTATGTGCCTGCTATATTCCACAGCGACACCTAGGCCACCAAGACGTAGACACTAAACTCTTACATTCTACCAATGCATACTTTAAGGAATCCTCTACACTGACGCTAAGAATTGTATAATAGGCAACACAGTCTGCCAACAGCAGCTGTGACTAATCTGCACATAAACAGAAATATCCACACAAAGACCACAGCTGCCAAGAACAGCCACAGAAAATGAGGAAAAAATTATAACAAAAAAAAAAAAAAAAACGGCAGTAAAGGCAACTTAAAACCAAAACTAATTTATTTCAACGCCACAAGCCGCTTGTGAGCCGAGTCGAGCCGACCGACGCTGACCAACACACGCTACGGCCTAAGCGGGCTTTAGACAGCGGACGGACACAATGCATTGTGTCGGCGAAAGTCCTGTGCGTTATTAGTATTATTATTATTTTATTTATTTATTGTATTATTATTTATATTAGGCATGCATATATGTATGTACGCGTGTTATTTTGCAATACGCACTTTTTTATGATTACCCTTTGAGGGCGACTGAATAATTTTTTATGATTTTCCATAAATATTTCTGGGTGTTAGTGTTGTAGTCCAGAGAATTTTCATTATAATGCGTGTAATGACATGCGCGCCTGCGTGTGCTGTCGCGTGTATGTGTGCCAACACCGTGAAAGGGTTGCTGCTGCTACTGCTGCTGCTGATGCCAACTCCGGCAAGCGATTTCTAGCCTATACAAGGAGTTGGGCTATTTTCTTTACATTACATCATGAGATAGCAACAACAAAAAGGCACACCGCACTCAGTTGGAAACACCCACCCTTGGCCAGCGTGAAAGTGTCCACTCACCAGCGCCGTCGGCTGCTGTTAATGTTGCTTTTTTTATGGAATTTCTTCTTTTTTATCTTCACCCCACCTGCTTTGCATTTCAAATTCAGCATACACACGTCACCCTGCTCTACTGTCCACCTCCGCTGCTCGTCTCGCCACTGCTGTCTGCTACTTTGCCAACTGTGTCTCTCTTTCTTTGACTGGACCTCTTCCATTTATGTACTTTTTTCATGTTTTTTGCTCTGCTTCACTATCACTGGTCACTCTGACTGTGAGCTTGAAGGCTTTGAGTTCACTCAAAGCAGCCGCAGCAGCAGTTGCAGCCTCCAACTCGACCCTTTAGCTTTTCTACACTTTCTTTCGCCTACCCTATTGCCATTTGCCATTAGCTCATCGTCGTCTAAATGAAAGGGTTTATTTTCTCTGTCCGTTTTTTACTTTGCCGTTTGCGTATAATAAAAGACACCTCCAACTCGTCGATATATTTCTCTTCGTCCTTTGTCTAACACTTTCAACACATTTGTTTTGTTGTGTCCGGTTGTCCTTCGAAAATTTAGCCACCCTTTGACCTTTTGTGTGTGTTGCAGTCGTTTGGTGTTTCCTTTTTTTTAATTTTCGCAAAGCTTCACAGCCGACCAGCAATTGTCCAGCTTTGCGCTTGCAGATTTGCACGTTCTCGTTTACACTCTCTCCTTTTCTGTCTCGCTCTAGCTAAGTCTGTCTTGGCTTTTATGTGGTTCCTTATCAAAATTCGGCAAGAGCGTGCGTTCCTCTGCTACTTTGTATCTTTTTATATATTTTTTGCTTATATTTTTCTTAAATTTCCTTCTGTTTTCTTTACGTTGTTTCCATTTTTTTTTTTTTTTTTTGTAAAAATCCAATTTTTTTTTTGAATATCTTACGCCTTTTTTGGACACTTTGCAGTTTTCATGCTTTTACTTCATTCTTTCTTCTCGCACTTTTTGTCTTCGTCGTGCCATCTTTGGTTTATCGATTGCTCTTGAGCTCCACTGCCCTGAATGACCATTCGGCTTACTTGCTGGATGTACTTTGTATTGGTATTGCGCAATAAATTGAATTATCGAAAATATTCTTAAATATTTTTATTTGGGATTAGCAGTTGAATTTGGCTTTAAGACCGCTGAAGAGGAAATAGAATCAAGGCTTTGCCTTTGCTGCTGCAGATATCGTTAAAACTTGTCTTTCTTGCCGGCAAATATTGCGTGGTTGTGAATGAAGAAAGCTTGGGTTGCAATAAGAATGTTGCTGGGGGCGCACTCGACACTTCAGCCTTTTGTGTTCTATGGAGTTTTTGCGGAAGTAACTGGTAAGGGTATCTTTAGCCACAACATGTGAAACTGGTCTAAAGCCCTCTCAATAGCATCTTTGGGACATTTCGTACTACACCTACCTTCACGCTTAACGCTGGGTATATCATAGTACCTGTGGATATTGCTGGTAGATCTAACACTACAAAAGCTACTTTGTCTTGGGTCGGCTCGGGCATGGGACAATCTTCAATACATGAAACTTCACTTCTAGCTAGCTCATTATCTACTGAAATTACTGCAGAGCAGAACGATTTGACAGAGCCACTAGAGTCAAAGAGCTTTAGTTTTTTCCATAAGTTCGATCTGTTCGGCGCGGCGAACCAAGCCTTGACCTTGGTTAAACTTAACGGAAAGCTCGGTGGTGAAGAAAGTGACTTTGCTCCTCGGTAATATATCAGTCGGTAAAGAGATAAGGCTTTCAGATCCTTTTACCAGACGACGGTTTTTGCTATTAAAGTAGAGATATTCTCATTGGTGCAGTGAGAGGCTTCAGTGTGATAAGCCATGACTTATTCAAACCAAGCCAACTAATAGAATGGCAAATCTAACGAACTTGACTATGTAGCGACCTCCAAACATTTCGACAAA